TCTGAAACACACTGGGAGCCTCCTTTTTTTTTTTTTTTTTTTTTTTTTTTAAGAGAATTTTTTGTTGTAGACACCTCGCCAGACAGACAGACAGAGACATAGAGACAGAAAGCGAGAAATCACTCCCCAGAGGGGATGGTCACGTCGCAATCCCTTCTCCTCCATTCTCCTCTCGGGATCTTGGGCACAGATGCACACGCGCCCGGTGTGAGTTTTAAGCCACCGAGTCCGGGACGTGGACCGTGGTCGACTATGTGGGAGTCCAGTGACATACCCATTACACTAACTGCTGGTTCCCAACACTGGGAGCCTCCTAAAACAAGGAACTTTTAGATGTCCTGGACAGTGAGAGGACGCCCAAAGTGAAGATGTTAAATAGGTGGTTAGATACGTAGATTTAGAATGAGATGATTGCTTCTTTCTCAATGGTTTGGGTCAGTCCACCACAGCATCTCTGGCCACTGAAACATTAAATTGTTACCTATGAGAAATAAAGTTTTTTCCTCTGGAACCTTGAAGAATTTCTTGCATAGCAAATAGTTTGAAGTGTTTTTATGCCAGAGATGAAGTGAGAGTGGGGTAAGGAAACTTTTAAGTCCCAAACCTAAACTGTCTGAAAGACCCTAAACAAGTCAGACATATCTTGATTTTGTCGTTCAACAATTTAACTGGCAATTGCAGTCATATGGTATAAATATATAGTGTCTACTGTTTGTGTGAGTGAGTTAGGGAGGGACACGTAGACAACACTGTTTATTTGTAGACAAGATGTCACTATATTGAGCTCCTCCTGCCTCAGCCTAACTGGTACAAGTGTGTCACCATAGCCCACTTTTACAAGACATTACTTTTGTTCTCCATGAATTTGTGGTCTAGTAGAATACAATTAAAAATTAAGTGTCAGGACCAGCAGTTGGCGTAATGGTTATGTTGCTGCACTCCCATGTAGTCGACTGCGGTTCGCGTCCCGGACCCGGTGGCTTAAAACTCACGCCGGGCGCGTGTGTGCGTGCCCAAGATCCCGAGAGGAGAATGGACTGCAGTGTGGCCATCCCCTCTGGGAGTGATTTCTCGCTTTCTGTCTCTCTGTCTCTCTCTGTCTGTCTGGCGATGGCACGCGTCCTATAGTGAAAAAAACTCTCAAAAAAAAAAAAAAAAATTAAGAGTGTCTTAGTTCAGGACCAGCAGATGGTTTAATAATTGTCACGGGACTCCCACATGGCTGACCATGGTTTGAGTCCTGGACCTGGTAGCTTTAAACTCATGCTGGGTGCTGTGTGTGTTTGCCCAAGATCCCAGGAGGAGAACACAGAAGGGATTATAACATGGCCATACCCCAAGGGGTGATTTCTGTCTCTCTGTCCCTGTGTCTCCACCAAGTGTGTGTACCCTCTAGCAAAATCTCGTTCTCAAAAGTGTTGAGGGCCAGCAGATGGCGTGGTAGTTAAGAGCGTTGTACACTCACATAGCCATCCATTGTTTGAGTCCTGGACCTGGTGTCTTGCTTTCTCACTTTCTCTCTCTCACTCACTCTGTCCCTCTCTGGTCAAATGAAAAATAAATGAATAAATAAAGTTTAAAAAAATTATTGAAGGGGCCAGCAGCTGGTGTCATGGCTATGTCGTTGGACTTCTATGTAGTCAACCGTAGTTCAAGTCCCAGACCCAGCAGCTTAAACTCATGCGGGTGCGAGTGCATACATGCCGAAGATCCCAAGAGAATAGGGAAGAGATTGCGGTGTGGCCATGCCCTCAGGGGGTGATTTCTCACTTTCTGTCTCTGTCTTTCTAACGAGTGCACACACCCTACAGCAAAAAACCTCTTCAAAAAAAGATAAAAGATGGTCAGCAGGTGGTATGGAGGTTAAGGTGGCTGGATCCCACATGGCCAATTGCACTGGTAGAGTCCTGGCTCCAGAGACTCGAAACCACATGGCAGGTCTACAGGAGTGCTCCAAACTCTGAAAGGAGCATGGAGAAGGGATTTTGGTGTGGCCATCCCCTTGGGGGGTGATTTCTCACTTTCTCTCTGTGTGTCTCTCTCCAGAGAGAGCATCAACTATAGCAAAATTAAAAAAAAAAAAATAAAAGAATTAGTGGCTCTGGCTCTGTCACCTGGTGGTTAAGGCAGCTGGATCCCACAAGGCTGAGCCTGTGGTTTGAGTCCCACACCCAGTGGCTTGAGAAACACACCAGCCACATGTGTGTGCCCCAAACCCCAAAAGGCATGAGATGGAGGAAGGGTTATGGTATGACCATTCCCCATGAGGTTGCTTTCTCCTCTTACTGCCTTTCTCTGGAGAGCACAGACATCCTCTAGCAAGAAAAAAAAAAAAAAAAAAAGTAAAGTTGAAGTGAAGAGAGTTCCAAGAGGAATGTTGTTATGGATGTAAGAGCACTGGATGCAGATTTGGACCACAACAGGAAGGCTATGAGTGAGACGACATCGCAGCATAAAGTATAAAATAATTTGTATGTTGTCCAGAGTTTATGATATAAATTCCCCAGATTTCAAAACTACTGGGCTACATGTGAACTATTAATAAAATGAAACTTTATGGGCTGGCCTGGTATCCTATTGGTTAAGGGAATCTGGGTCCCACGTGGCCAACCATGGTTTGAGTTCCCCACTATCTGGTTTGAAGAAATACACAGTGTCCCTGCTCAAAATCTCAACAAGGTTGTGTAGTGTGACCATGTCACATTGGAAGAGGTGCTTTATCCCTTTTCCTGTTTCTTGGGAGCATACATGCTCACTGGCAATTAAAAAAATAACCTTTTGAGATCAGCAGGCGGCATGGTGGTTAAGGCGCTGGAAGTCCCACATTGCCAACCATGGTTCAAGTCCTGGATCTGGTGGCTTGCTTGCTTTCTCTCTCTCTCTCTCTGGTCAAAATAAAATAAATGAATGAAAAAAAATAAAAAAGTAATTAAAAAAAAGAATTTCACACACACACAAATAACCTTTTTAGAGAAGTCACTATTCCAAGAAAAAAGGTGGGCATATCTAATGCTATCCTTTTTTATTTTTAAAAGATTTTTGCTATAAGGTGCATGTGCACACTGGTGAGACAGAAAAGTGAGAAATTATTCCCCAGGCGAATGTCCATGCTGCAATCCCTTCTCCTCCATTCTCATCCCAGGGTTTTAATTATTCTGCAATGTAAATTCCGCTAAGTTAATTTAATTTAAAAAAATCCTCTATTTTAATCTTCTTTTGAGAAATTTGGATAGTATCCAATTAATGATCTATTTAACTACACAGTGGAAAATAAACGTTTAAGCTCTTCAGTATTTAATTTTATTATTTTTTAAAAATTTGGTATAAGGCTCACCTGCTTACTACAGAGAAAGTAAGCAGCCAGGCCTAGGATTTGAACCACTGATACCTATGTGGGAATCCAGCGTCTTAACCACTATGCCACCTGCTGGCCCCCAAACGTTTAAAGTCTGAAGAGTTCTTTCCTATGTTTTGCAAACTTGTCTGTTCTCCAGTGTCAAACCGCATTCTAAACGGCCCAATAATCATTTATCTACAGAAGTAGCTAGTAACTTCATTCATTTTCTTTTGGAGATATTGTTGGAGGCGGACAACTCCAAAGTCCGAATACTGTAATAGTTTCAGGCTATGAAGCAATTTTACTGTTACACCGAATGAACCGCCTAAGGTGCCTTAAAAATAAAAAATCTCAACACAACAAACTCAGAGACCTCGTAAAGATGATTCACAGCATTTATATAGCCTATTAACATTAGGACTAAAAAACATTAAATGAGTCCTTGGGTAATTTAACAAATTTCCCCCCTCTTCCTTATTTTATAAGAATCTTGGCAGTTTTTAGGATCTTCAGATAAAGCAAAGCAAAAACAATTCTTGTTCCTTGATATAGGCAAACCTGCTTCTTTTGACGAAAACGTCCACCCCCCCAAAAAAAAAAAAAATAAAGAGCGAACAAGCAAAAGTCTTACTTGGAAAGCAAAATTTATCAGAAAAATAAGCCCTAATAGTCAGCAGCCTCGGCCTGCCGGCACGGACCCGGATCGCGGCGGCGGCGGGGGAACCTCAATGTC